CCTGCCCCCCCCCCCACGTGTCTCTAGAAACAAAGAAGAAATGCACTTGCCAAGATTGGGCTTCTCACGCATTTAACTGTTTTCTCAAAATCTTGATGATGACGTGAGTGTGGAGGAACATTGTAAGTCTGGAAGCTCTCAACTTTTGAGATCCCAAATATGGGTCACCTTTCCTGGTGGGAGGTTCCTGGAGGGCTGCTGGACTTGGAGGTGTGACCTGACCCCCTGCCCACCGCTGGAGAGGATGCAGCAGCGATCTGAGCCGCTAGAGGGCGGTGCAGGATGAAACTTCGCGGCCTACCAGAGCAGAGGAGGCCTTTCCTGGCCCTGAACCCAGCTCTGCGGCCCCCCTCACAGACCTGCCGCCCGTAGTAGTGGCTGGTAGTAGTGTCCGGTTAAGGAAAGGGTAACCCTATCCCCCTGGGATGAGATCGATAGTAGCTTTAGGGCAATGGGTTTGTGTCCATATTAACCCACCAGAACCTCTCGAACTTGAGGGTCTTTTTCTGTGGTCCCCAGCGACTTTATCACTTCTCTGTCTCTCCTCCTGGCAGCTCCAGAAGGTGTTGCTAAGGGCCCAGATGCCCTGACACTTCTTGAATACCCTGAGACCCGGAATCAGTTCATTGATGAGCTCATGGAGGTACCTTCGTCCTCTGGGAGGACGCTTCCTCTTTGTGTTAATCTCCGCCTGTTGCCTTCCCAGTGGACTGCTGGCTGGTGAGGTCCTCGTCAAAGTTCTTAGTCCTCACCTGTTCCCTTTTCTTTCTGCCCAGAGAGGCCCCTCTTAGCCTCCAGGACAGAGAAGGACAAAGGGATCAAGTTTCTAAGGTAGAATAAGAGTGACAAGACATGCGGCTGGTTCCCAGATTCTTCCCAGCCCTTTCTTAATCCAGGGCTTCTCAGATGTGGATTCCTGTTCCCTGAATTTCATTCCTCACAGAGAGAAAATACCTTCACTGGGGCAGAGAGAACCCGTTGAATCTGTGTGTCCTTAGTTATCCATACACTGGGAGGAAGGAGAGGTGTCCAGGGCTTGAGAGGGCCTGAGATAGGAGTAGGGGACAGAAGAATGACAGTGAGAGGCTGCCTCAAGGTCTCACATTATAAATCTTTTTTTTTTTTTTTTAATGTTTTTTTTATTTTTGAGAAAGAGAGAGAGAGTGTGAGCCGGGGAGGGACAGAGAGAAGAGAGAGACACAGAATCCGAAGCAGGCTCCGGGCTCTGAGCTGTCAGCACAGAGCTGGACATGGGGCTCGAACTCAGGCACCGTGAGATCCTGACCTGGCCGAAGTTGGACACTTAACTGACTGAGCCACCCAGGCGCCCCATCAAACTCTCACATTATAGTTGCTAAGTTTTTAGCAGTAAAAGTATTCAGAGGAAATAACACCTTCTCACCCAGAGTCCAACCCTCACGTCTCATTCTTGCGTTTTGAGCATCTGAGAACGTCTGAGTTCTCTTCTTGGTTTCAACCAGATCCTCTTCTGCCCTCAGCTCGAGATCTTCTTGACCCAGAGAGCCGTGGAGATGAGTGAGGAGGCAGACATCTTGTCCGTGAGCCAGTTCCAGCTGGCTCCCGCCATCCTGCAGGGCCAGACCAAAGCAAAGATGGTTACCATGGTGTCGGCGCTGCAGGATCTGATCGGCCGGCTCACCAGTCTTCGAATGCAACACCTGTTTATGATCCTGGCCTCACCAAGGTCTGGTTTCCCCCTTGACATCGGGCTGTTCCGGAGCATGATGTGGGGCTCTGCCATCTTGAGCAGCCCTGACTCCTTGTGTTCCTCTTCTCCATGCCCCCCAGAGCTCTTCTCTGCCTCCCATAGCAGTGCTGTCACGGTTGGGATCAGGGGTTGTCTTGGGGCAAGATGGCTCTGCTTCCCAAGTAGGACAGGGGAGCTGGGAGCACTCTACCTCGCAAAGAAGGAGTTGAAGGGTGTGGAGGCTGAGAGGCCTGTTAGGGATTTGGTTTCCTGAGCCTCACCTTTCCCAGCAGCTGAATGGGGATGCTCGGGGTTGCTCGGCAGCACCCCTCACCTGAATACCCTGCACAGGTATGTGGACCGAGTGACTGAGTTTCTCCAGCAGAAGCTGAAGCAGTCCCAGCTTCTGGCTTTGAAGAAGGAGCTGATGGTGCAGAAGCAGCAGGAAGCGCTTCAGGAGCAGGCGGCCCTGGAGCCCAAGTTGGATCTGCTGCTGGAGAAGACCAAGGAGCTGCAGAAGCTGGTGAGACCGGAAAGGCAGACCTGCCAAGCAGGTGGGGGACCCCCAGTTTCTACACAGCAAGGCACCCCTGCCTCTCTGCTTCCCACCCACTTGGTACCTCTGTCTTTCAGATTGAAGCTGACATTTCCAAAAGGTACAGTGGGCGCCCCGTGAACCTGATGGGAACCTATCTGTGACAGCCCCCACATTCTACCTTCCCGGCTTCCCAGCCTTCAGGAAGAGGGGTGCTACAGCCAGGGCTGATGCGGCAGGGCCCTTCCTGGCCAGAGACCAAGTGATTGGAGGATGGAAGGCCGCATGAAGGAGCTGTCACCTAGATGGTGACCTTGACCCTCACTGTATGTTCTGGCAAGAAGCTATCTTGATTGGCCCTGTGGCCTGTCAGCCTGCAACCCCAGTTTCTGGTCCTTCTCATCATCTAGTTGGACTTAATAAAAGAGGAAGAGACTCTTGCTTCACCACTGACAGTTTCTGCTTCTCTGGGCCTTGAGTCAAGGCCATGCACCTGTTTGCCTGGGGTTCTTGATCGAGTGGGTTCCCTAGGCCATCAGCTGTTCCTGTGGAGTCCTGGGTTAGAGACTTTGCCTCTTTGCCTCTGGTGACAGGGAGGGCCCCAGATGAGCATCTACAAGTGGTTCAGCAAGCTCTGGGGTAGCTGAGTCTGCTGGGCCCCTTTCTTTCCATGGCCAGGCCAGACTGCCCCACTTGGGCCAGAAAGCCAAGGGGAACAGTCGAGTGGCAGCCTTGTTGGAGCCAGCGAAGCTGTATTTTCCTTTTAATCACAGCTCACCTCCAGGCAGGGGGACAATGCGGTTTGGGGAGGAAGGGTCTGATAAACAAGGTGGAGACAGGAGTTGTCACCTTCACTAGCCGCCTGTCCACTTCCTGCCCGTAACTGCCCGCACTGTGATTGGGTAGAGCCCACCCCGGGATGGCGCCCCTCTCCCAAGCCACCTACCCATCCCCATTTCCCAGGAAGGGTAGGGGTTGGGGGTGGCCGGCAATTCGATTTTAATTTCATAGCAGAGCAGTTGATTCATGGCTCTTTGTCGCTGGCGTTGACTCCCGTAATGACTTTCCATCAAAATGAAAAGTGGAGTGACACCACTCATTATTCCTGCTGCTTGTTATCTCAGTTCTGGGGAGGGCCGCCCCCTCCCCGCTGCCTTTCAGCCGTCCCGGACAGTGAGTGATGGCCCCTATTAATCACCGACCCCGCGGACTCCGGCGGACACACGCTATCCGAAGGAGAGAGAGATAAGGCAGCATGAACTGCTCGAAGCCGCTCCTATCAATTAATGTCAGCCCGTCGCTTCCCCCCAATCTTTGCCTGTTCACCTCCTTTTGGAGGAAATGGGGGCTGGAATTAGTCTAGGAATTGGAAAAGGGAAAACATTGGTGTGGAATGTCGAGGTAAAACCGTCCTTAGGGTCGAAGGACACAGAGGGGACTGCGCGGGCTGCACCCTGCCCTCGGCCGCCATGAAGGCGCCCGGCCTGGGGGGCTGTCTGCGTCTCTTCGTCCCTTTCCCTCTGAGAGGGTGGCCGCCAGCTCCTGCCCCACCTGTTCAGCTGCCGGCTGCACTGGCCTTCCGGCCTGCCTCTTGCAGCAGCCATCAGCTCACCGAGGCATGCCGCCCTCGCCCGCTCTCCTGTCCCTCGTCCAATCACCAGCTGCTACACAGACACTATTGCTTCCAGACACCGCGAGGTAGGGAGAAGCCCTGTGGACCACGTGACTGCAGCAGGCTGGTTTGGGCCTCAAAAGCTCTTGCTCCTCGCCCTTCCAGAGGGGCACCTCGCCTGTCTTCTCTGCCCTGCCTGGGGCCAATGGCAGGAAGTCACACAGGCTGAGGTTTGGCCATCTTCGCAGGAGGGGAAGTGGGTTTAGATAGAAAGGGTTCTCTCTGCAGATTTTGGCCACGTTGCTAAGCGGTGTGGTTAGGGGACTGTTCTCTCTCAGAGGGATTAGGCCTGGTTCACTGTTTACTTGGTAAAGCGAAGGCCCGCTCCAGGCTGGTGTAAATTGTTTCTTAAAAGCGTTTAACCCCATAAGGAACCTTTAGCTCCAGCTGCCTTTGGCCCGGGCCTCGCTTCCTGGGGCCTCACTTTCCCGACCACCCTGAGACACCGAGACCCTGCCTGGCTCTTTTACCCCGCAGGAGAAGAGTCTCACAGATCCGCCCCCAGGTCTCCCCTAGCACCGCTCTGATTGCAGTTGGGTTCTTGCTGGCTTTTCTCTGGCTTGCCTGACAGAATCCATCATGGCGATGAAACGAGTTAATATACACAGGGGTCTTAGAGTAGTGCCAGGCACAGAGTAAGCGCTCCTGGGCAAATGCGAGCTCATTTCCGGGGTGTGACGTAATGGCCCGGGACTCTTCATCCCCGTCTAAATTGGCTTCCTGGAAGGGAATGGTGAGAGGCTCCCTTGGAGCTTGAGGACCAACTTCTGAGCAGTCAGGTTTCTGGGGCTGCCAAGAAAATGTTCCAGGAGAGGGGGAGGAGGTGGGCTGAGATTTTCTGTTAGTTTGATGTGAATTGTAGTGCCAAGAGCTCCCCCTGCTTTTGTGTTCACTTTTACGCCACCTTTTTCCAGAGAAGACTTCAGGCTGTCACCGCTCAGTCAACTGGTCACCCTGCTTCACTTTTTTTTTTTTTTAATTTTTTTTTACATTTATTTATCTCTGAGAGACAGAGCACAAGTGGGGGAGGGGCAGAAAGGGAATGAGACACAGAATCTGAAACAGGCTCCAGGCTCTGAGCTGTCAGCACAGAGCCCGATGCGGGGCTCGAACTCACAAGCTCGAGATCATGACCTGAGCAGAAGTCTGATGCCCAACCAACTGAGCCACCCAGGCACCCCCTGGTCATCCTGCTTCAGACAAAGAGGCAGAATCACTTTTCCTGGATCCTCCCTCCCTGCTAAACCCAGCTGCCTAGGCCCCACCACCGGCTCTCGGCTCATGACCGTGACCATGGGCTGAGCAGACTGCTAATGACTGTCCATCTGGGATCTGGCTGCCCACTAAGGGCTTGCCAAGGACATCTAGAACTAGTTTCTCATTGCCAGTGTGGGGCAGGGGTTATCTGCGTCATCCACACAGGAAACCTCACCCATTGAAAGAATTCCCTGCTTCAGAGAACTGGCCTGGAGCTGAGGACCAAAGGAAAGCCATCCCAGGATGGCAGGAGCTGACTGTGGCCTGGCGTGGAGTCCTGCTCACTCACTCGTGCGCACCCGCCCCTCCCCTTTCTCTCCCCCTCGTTAATTCCCCAGATGTTGCTTACACAGTTTCTCCTCTAGAAACACAGGTCCTGTGGCTCTTCCCTGCCTCTCTGACACCTGCTTGTCCTGTTACTAATTTTTATTTCATCTTTTAATTGCCACCTATTATCCTCTCCTCCGCACTCCTGTACACGCACGTACAAAATCTGATAATGGTAATAGGTTAGGAAGAAAGCAAGCAAGGCGTCATGATGATTAGCACGTTGTCTAGATCCGGACGGCCCGGGTCAAATCCTGGCTCTGTTCTTACTACCATGTGATCTTGGACACGGCCCAGGACCTCTCTGTGCCTCATTTCCTTCACCTATAAAATGAGAACAAGAGATAACTACCGCCCTCCGGGTAGGGAGCTGTGGTATATACAACACCTAGGTGGTCCCTGGTCCAGTAGGACTCCAATGTCAGCTGTTGTGAGAGGGGATGGACCAGAAATAACCAGGACTGAGGTTAGAAACTTGTGCTTGGGGCCTAGCTGTGTGTCTCAGATATCCCAGCAGGTCCCAGACCAAACCCATAATCTTCCCCATTCTGTCCTTCATCCCTCTCTGATATTTCCTATCTCTGCCAATTGGCAGGCTCCAAGCCTCTGCTTTGTCACCCCAATCATTCCCCTGCTTAGAAACTCCAATGCCCCCTTAGCTCCCTAAACTCCTAAAGTGGCGGGCCAGCCCTTGGTAATCAGATCTCCATCTCCCTTCCAGCCTGGGTATCCATCCAAGACACCAAACCCACATGTGTCCCCAAAGCCCCAACCCTCTTCTTGGCCCCCTCAAGGCCTTCCTGCCCCCCCCACCCCCGGCTCAGATATGACCCAAATACCTCCCTCTGTGGACATTTCCAGGCTCTGACAGAATTAGCCCCTCCTCCTCAGCAGCATCCCTGAAGCCTCGTGGAGATGCCCTTCAGAGCGCCTGTCACCACATCCCCGTGACCTCCTGACATCTGTGCCCCAACCAGAGCTGCCTAAGGATAGGGACTGGGTCTTGCTCACTTGTCTGTCCCCGTTGGAATCTCAAAATTAACTTCTCCGAACTTCAGTTGTCTTCACGATCTCTAAAGCGACTTTGACCTCTAAAATATTAGGATCATGTGGCTCCCCAGTTAACAAAAAGGAAGAGTCCCACAGAGCACTACAAGTTAGGAAGAAAACTGGGTTTAAGTAGGCTTTTAAAATGGACCAGTGGTCAAACTAAAATTCCCTTCTGCATGCTTTCCAATGAGAGCCTCTGCCCTGAGCATCATCTGGGCTCCCTCCCTCCCCTCTCCCTGCTTAGCCGAGGGCTCTCCTAGAGAGCAGAGGAAAGGGCTGTTGTCCTACCCTCTTGGAGACACCACAGCTTCTGCTCCAAAGCTGGGGCTAGTCCCCAGCCCCCACTACTGAATGGGGCTCAGATGCCTTCCTGCCCCCACAGATCCCGGAGCCCAGCAGGAGGGTGTCAAGCCTGCCTGCCCCAGGGCTTCGGAGGCTGGCCGGGGTGCCAGCCGACGGACCCGCAGAGCCGCCTGTCCTCCAGGTGCCCTTCCTCTCAGCTGATGGGCAGGGCCTCCCTGAGTAAATTGGCCCTGAGTAAACTCTGCCTGCCACCCCTCTATTCATTCCCCAGGCTTCAAAGAAAACCAGTTTGAATATTTAAACTTCTCCTGTGTGTCTAATAAAAAGTTCTGCACTATTTAACGGCCCAGCTATCCATTACTGTCGGGAGCTGCCCTCTCCCTCCCAACCTGCCCCTCCCTCCCTCTCGCCCAAACCACGTGCAGCAAAGCCATTTGTCAAAGCGCTCCCGCCGCGGGCTGCGCTCGGCTGTGTCTGGAAGGACAAGCCGCCCCACAGGGGAAGGTGGGAATGAATAAAGGGGCTATGCAAATTGCTGCTTAATCTGCAGAGAAACACCCAGGCTTTGGGGAGACGCTCATTACTTCTTTTAACTGTGATTAACGGGCAAATTAAACCCAAGCCCTTAACTCTCTCCTGGCAGAGGACTTGAACGCAGAGCCCTGGGCTGGTGAGGGTGGAGGGAGGCTCTGACCTGGAGCTGCAGACCTAGGGGCTGGGACGGAGGAGCGCGGAGGAGCATGAGAGCTGCCCCTTAACCTGCCGCATTGTTGTCACACTGTC